GGAGGAGGATGACGACAATGAGGAAGCCTGGCTGCAGCTGCGGCCCAAGGAACCTTTGCCCTCCCAGTGCTGCGGCAGTGGCTGCTCACCCTGTGTATTTGACCTCTATCACCAAGACCTGGCAAGGTGGGAGGCAGCCCGAGCCAGCAAGGACAGGAGCCTGCTACATGGGCCAGAGTCACAGGTGAGGGGGACTGCTTCTCGACATGAGCACCAGGGTGGCATAATCTACTTGCCTTGGCCCTGCAAAGCACACCTCTGGGAAGCCTTCCCTGACTGTATAGCAGAAGAAAAGAGTGAGCATAACGGAAGCAAACAGATCCAGGCTCAAAGCCCAGCCCTGGAACAAACTTATTAGCAGCTGTGTGGTTTGAGGCAAAGTTCCTTAGTCTAAGCCTTAGTTGCCCCATCTGTAAAATGAGGCTAAATGTTTGTGATATATAGCACAGAGCTTGACATTCATTTCACTTAATAAATATTTATTGAGTACCTATTATATACCAGGCCTTATGAGACAGTGAGGATTTGAGAGCAAGCATGACAGACACAGTCCTTGTCCTTATGGACCAAACTAGTTATAATATATAAGTAAATAAACGATGTTAGGGCTGATATTTCTTCTTCTCTGGTCCTTACTGACTTGTTCCTCCTTTTCTTAACTCTTCCAGGACTTGATAGTCTGACTAAGCAGTTTGGCCCTTTATGGTAATGTTTGGGGGGGGTTCACAGTTATAGATGTTAGAATACTGGACTTCACCCCCTATATTACACAGATAGGGAATCTGAGGACCCATTCCTTCTGACACTACACAGGTTTTGTTTCAATCTGTTGCTGTCTTGGTCTTTTACCTCTGAACAGTCTTCCCATTTTCCGTGTCCCTCCTGACTAATGTGGAGCAGAAGGTATCTCCCATTTCTACTTCTCTCAATGCCATATGGCATCATCATCACTTTTTTTTTCTTTTTTGTAGAGTTGGAGTCTCACTATGTTGCCAGGGCTGGTCTCGAACTCTTGGTCTCAAGTGATCCTCCCACCTTGGCCTCCCAAACTGCTGGGATTTACAGGTACAAGCCACCATGCCTGACCATTGTCACTTTTTGACCAACTGTTCCCCATTGTTGGGGCCCCAAACTGGACCAAAGCTTAGTCTTTTTTTTTTTTTTTTTTTGAGATGGAATCTTGCTCTGTTGCCAGGCTGGAGTGCAGTGACGCAATCTTGGCTCACTGCAACCTCTGCCTCCTGGGTTCAAGCAATTCCCCTGCCTCAGCCTCAGGCTGGTGCCACCACACCTGGCTAATTTTTTGTATTTTCTTTTGTTTTTTGAGGTTGTTTTTTTGTTTGTTTGTTTGTTTTTGGTGTTTCGCTCTTGTTGCCCAGGCTGGAGTGCAATAGCACAATCTTGGCTCACTGCAACCTCCGCCTCCCAGGCTCAAGCGATTCTCTTCCCTCAGCCTCCTGAGTAGCTGGGATTACAGGCATGTACCACCATGCCCAGCTAATTTTGTATTTTTAGCAGAGACAGAGTTTCTCTGTGTTGGTCAGGCTGGTCTCAAACTCGTGACTTCAGGTTATTCACCCATCTCAGCCTCCCAAAGTGCTGGGATTACAGGTGTGAGCCACTGTGCCTGGCCACACATGTTGTTCTTAAACTATAGATCATATATCCTGAACAAATACAGTTGTTTTTCTTTTCTTTTTTTTGAGACAGAGTTTCTCTCTTGTTGCCCAGGCCGGAGTACAGTGGCATGATCTTGGTTCACTGCAACCTCTACCTCCCAGGTTCAAGTGATTCTCCTGCCGTAGCTTCCCAGGTAGCTGGGATTACAGGCATACGCTACTACACCTGGCTAATTTTGTATTTTTAGTAGAAATGGGGTTTCGCCATGTTGGCCAGGATGGTCTCAAACTCCTGACCTCAAGTGATCCATCCTCTTTGGCCTCCCAAAGTGGTGTGATTACAGGTGTGAGCCACCATGCCTGATCTTGCAGTTGTTTTTCTGAACCCCAAACAACATGACTTTATATTTATTATTATTATTATTTTTGAAATGGAGTCTCACTCTGTTGCCCAGGCTGGCGTGCAGTGGTGTGATCTTAGGTCACTGAAATCTCTACCTCCCAAGTTCAAGCGATTCTCCTGCCTCAGCCTCCTGAGCACCTGGGATTACAGGCACCCACCACCATGCCTGGCTAATTTTTTTTGCATTTTTAGTAGAGATGGGGTTTCACCATGTTGGCCTCAACCTCCTAACCTCAAGTGAACCTCCTGCCTCAGCCTCCCAAAGTAGTGGGATTACTGGTGTGAGCCACTGCACCTGGCCACAGTTTTGCTTTTTATGAAGATAGAGATGGGGTCTTGCTGTATTGCCCAGGCTAGGCTCAACTCCTGAGCCTAAGCAAACCTCCTGTCTTGGCCTCCCAAAGTGCTTCCTGGGATTACAGGCATGAATGACTATATTTAATGTCTCCTTGTATTTCTGCCACTGGAAGGTGGTGATAGGGACTAGAATCCTCTGGCCTCTGCCAGTGACTGGGGAATGTTCATGACAACCTCTGTTTCTCACTGCCCTCCATCTCCACATGGCTCACCCTTTTACTTCTTTCTGATCTCTGCTCAAATTTCATTTCTATTCCTAACTCAGGGCTACCAGACACCACCTAGATGTGCTCTTTTATGTGTATATTGTCCAGCTTCTTGCTAAAATATTAGTTCTGGAAGAGAAGGGGCCTCTGTCTTGCTCACTGTTCTATCCTCAGCACCTTGAGTAGTTCCTGGCATTACAGTTGGCACTCATTAAATATTTGTTGAATGGATGAATGTGTTTCTCTCAGATCTACTGAGTACCATATTGTGTATGCTAGGCACAAGGAGGTTGATAATAAAGGTGCCAGGGTATCAATGCTGAAAAAACTCAGCTTACCGAAGGGGGACAAAGAACCACAGGGTTACTTGGCCAGGCATGGTGCCTCATGCTTGTAATCTGAACACTTTGGGAGGCCGAGGCAGGTGGATCACCTCAGGCTCAGGAGTTCAAGACCAGCCTGGCCAACATGGCAAAACCCTGTCCCTACTACAAATATAAAAATTAGCCAGGCGTGGTGGTGTGCCCCTGTGTCCCAGCTACTCGGGAGGCTGAGGTTTAAGAATCACTTGAACCTAGGAGGTGGAGGTTGCAATGGGTCGAAATTGTACCACTGCAATTCAGCCAGGGTGACAGAGTGACACTATGTCTCAAAAAAAAAAAAAAAAGAACCACAGGATTGTGATAGAGTATGAACTGAGGCCCCGTTCTGCCAGTTAATTAATTGTGTGATGTTGGGCATGCCATTTTAGTGTGCTAAACCTTAGTTTTCTCATCTGAAAAATGAGGATGTTAATACTTTATAAGTTGTTATGAGAATTTCATGGGATAAATATGTAAAGCACCTGGCACATGGTAGATGCTCAGTAGCTGTCATCACCTATTATAACATTGGACATGAGGGGTTCAAGACCAGCCTGGCCAACATGGTGAAACCCCATCTGTACTAAAAATACAAAAATTAGCTGGGCATGGTGGCACACATCTATAATCCCAGCTACCCAGGAGGCTGAGGCACTAGAATCACTTGAACCTGGGAGGTAGAGGTGGCATTGAGGCAAGATTATGTCACTGCACTCCAGCCTGGGTGACAGAGTAAGACTCCATAAAAAAAAAAAAATTGCAAACAGATGGAAGCAAATAGATCCAGACATTTTGTCAGTTCTATAAAATAGCATATTCCAATTTATAATTTTGTTTTTTAACTTTTAATGAAGCAATAATAATGGGAAAAGATTTTACATTTCCTTGGTAACTTACATTTTTACATTGTATCTTATCTGACCCTCATGATAACTCTATAAAGTTTTCAGGGATGAGTGGCTCCTTTTTATAGACTGGGAAACTGAATCCCAGAGGATCAATTGATATGCTGAAGGCTCCACAGGGAGGCAGCAGCTGCCCTGGGGCTAAACCCAGTTCTCCCTACTTCCAGTCCAGTGCTCTTTTCAAAGCCGCAGGCAGCTGTGCCAGAGGGTACCCAGGTGCTCTGGATGATGATGAGGTCATCCTGGATGGGGATGTGGGAAGGGGCATAGTGGAGACAAGGCCTCGAGTGCCAGGCCTGAGAATTTCTGTCAGTTCAGTGATACTGTCAGCACTACCATGGGTAACCGGCATTCCAGAATTGGTGCTGCAGGAACACATGGTACCAGGCCCTAAGCTGGATATGAAGGGGCCCAGGAATGAATGGAGTATTTTATAGGAGAGAAAGATCTGTGAGTGACAGCATTCAGAGAAGGCTTCCTGGAGGAGGTGCAGGTTGGGGTACAATATTAAAGGCAGTGGGCTGAGACTTAGACATGAATTTGAATCTTTGTTCATAGTCCGACTATGAACAAGCAAGCCAGCGTGACTCAACTCAGGCCTCAGTTTCCACATATGTAATACACAGGTATTGAATTAGATATTCTGAGGTCCTATCAACTTCTAAATTCTGCAAATCTGGATTTTAGCAGGTTTGAAGAATGGATAGGTCTTTTATACATTGGAAATGAATGTTCTTGATAGAGGGCACTACTTGAGCAAATAAAGACTCAGAAATAGGAGTCAGCAGGGTATTTTTGGGAGGACAGAGAAAAGTCTGGCATCAGTGCCATGGATAGACTGGGAGATAAAATGAGGCTTGAGGGTCATCCACAGGGTCCTTGAGTGTCCAGCTAAGGAAGGAGCCTACACTTTACCCTGGAGCTGAGGGAGCCATGGAAGACTTGAGAGCAGGATAAGCTCAAAGGAATATGCTCTGCCATTCTTAGATCTGATTTTCAAAGGGAAGTAAGGTGAGGCTAGTGTCCAGTTTACAGGAAACTTCCCAAGCTGAGACAGCCTCTCCTTGGGGTTAGTGGGAAGGGTGCTGTGGATGCCTGTGTGTCTGTGGAGCCCTGGCCTCTAGCTGTTGGATGTTTTCTTGTTGCAGAGCTGTCCCTCCAAGCTGAACCCAAAGACCTTCGTGGCCTTCTGCATCAGTGCCATGGACAGACTCACTAAGGACACCTACCGTGTACGGTTTGCTCTACCTGGGAACAGCCAGCTTGGCCTGCAGCCCGGCCAGCACCTCATCCTACGGTACACTTAGGTAGTGGGAAGATCTGGTGGCCTTGAGCAACTAGCATACTCTCGAGCCTTAAGCCTCCATTTGTCATCTTCAAGATAGACATAGTGACACATGATTCAGAGGGTTCTTGGGATTGGACCAGATAATACATTTTCATAATAAATAATAAGAACACAATCACTTTAATAGCATTTACTATCCAAGTCACAGTTCTGTGTGCCTATATGTGTGAAATCATTTAACCCTCACAAAATCCTACGTGGTAGGCGCAGTTATTCCCCAGAGGACACTGAAGTAAGAGGGGTCCAGAGACTTGCCCAAGGTCATGCAGTTAGGAAATGTTGGAGCCAGGATTTGAAGGCAAGCAGTCTAGCTTTAGAGCTTGTGGTATGAACCTAATATGATTAGTACCAATTGATAGAATTGAGAATAAAGGGCTTGCCAAGCACCACATAGCTAATGAGTCACAGACCCAGGATTGAAACCCAGACAGCCTGGCTCCTGAGTGACACTCTTAACGACTCCTCTGAGGTTCCTACTTCCCAGCCTACTTAGGCACTCTACTCCCACCCCAGTCCCCACCCCTGCCTGCCCAGAGACAAGACCCTTTGGGATATCCAGGTAGAGTTGTCTGCCAGGCTGTTGGCTCTATGAGTCTGAGGCTCAGTAGAGAGATCTGAGCTGCAAGCATAGGTTTGGGAGCTGTTGGCACATACCTGAGTGACATTTGGGAACATGTATGCATAGAAACAGGAAGGGGCATAGGACCGAACCCTGGAAACACCGGCATCTAAGATATTAGCAAGAGGAGGAGGAGCTAGCAAAGGAAACAAGGTGTGGCCAGAGTAGAAGGTAGAAACCAGAAGAGTACTTACGGCTGCTTAGACCCTGGCCACTTGCCTCACATTGGTCCCTGGTGTTTGTGTCCAGCTCCTTCTGGCCTGTGGCCTGGCCAGCAGTCCTAGAAGTTCACTGTCTCAGTGGGTAGGAGGGGCCACAGGGCAGTTCACAGGAGGATGGAGGCATTCCTCCATCCATGAGCTAGAATGCCTAGAACTCTCTGGCTCCCCTCCTTCTTCCTCTCTGTCCCTGCGGTGACATCCCTAACACACACATCTGACCATGTCACTCTCAGGTGCCACATGGAGACAATGTAGCACTGCAGAAAGTATCTGAGGTACCACATTGCCTCCATGATGATGTCCTAACCCAAGGCCCCTGCTTGCTTTCCTGCCATGTTCTTCTCCCTCCGCCACCCCACCCCTGCTCTGGTCTCAGCCTCCTGTTCCATGCCGCATTCCCACCATCCTTCCTGTCCCCACCTGCCCCTGTCAGTGGTTGGCCCATCCTGCAGCACCTACCTCTAGGTTTCCGAGGCTCCCAGAGGAGACTGTGCACTCCCTCTGAAACATGCCAGTTTTACCTCTGTTGCAGCAGACGTCAGAGTGCTCTGCAGCCAAGCCACGTTCTGTGCTCTGTTCCTTATGTCCCCATTTGTTTTGTAAGCATTTATTAAATATTTCTGTCCAGGCCCTCCTGCTCTTGGTGCATTGAGACAGGGCCTTTTTAATCTTTGTGTACCTCAGAGAAGAAATTTTGCACATGGTAGGATTTGAGAGAAGACTGCTTAGGGAAGCTCCTGGGAAGCTCTGAGGAACAGTGGTGAGGAGCCCAGCTCTGACGTTAGAGCTGTGGTTGAATTTGAGCTGTGCAAGTGACTTCCCTTCTCTAAGCATTGGCTTCCTCATTTGGGTTGTTGCTTGAGTTAAATGAGATAATGCATATGAAATGCTTGATGCATGTGTGCATTTAATACACTGTTGCTGTTACTGTGACTCATGGTGGTTATGCTGACCCTGTTGTTGGTAACATAAAGGATTCATACATGAGACAGGGCTTTAGACTAGGGGCCCTTTGAAGATCCTTCCAGTCCCAATGCTTCTGTCAGGTGCTAGTAAGTGTTTAATAAATGCTAGCAGTTGTTTTTATCTTTATCATTCTGTGGTAGAGAAGAGGTCAGGGAAAATGTTAGTCATGTCCCCAAAACAACTGCCATCCTCGGTGCACTTTTGAAGCACTCTCCCATCTGTAGTCCCAGAGGAGCCATACAACTGGAATGCAGATAGCTGTCCACATTGTACAGAAGGGGCCACGGGGGATCAAATGATCTACTGGGATCTCACAGCCAGCACATGGCAGTGGATGAGCTAAGTATTCTTTTTTTTTCCCTCTTGTACCTTGTCTGTCTCTCAGTGAGGACCTTTACTTTCACCATTCTGGCAGAGGAGGTACCTCATAAGGATTTGCGGTTGTTTGTCTGTTTGTTTGTTTGAGACAGTCTTGCTCTATTGTCCAGGCTGGAGTGCAGAGAGAAGTGCATGATCTTGGCTCACTGCAACCTCCACCTTCCAGGTTCAAATGATTCTTGTGCCTGAGCCTCCCGAATAGCTGAGACTACAGGCATGAGCCACCACACCTGGCCAAATTTTTGTTAGCAGAGATGGGGTTTCACCATGTTGGCCAGGCTGGTCTCAAACTCCTGACCTCAAGTGATTTGCCCACCTCAGCCTCCCAAAGTGTTGGAATTACAGGCATGAGCCACCGTGCCTGGCCTCATAAGTGTTTGTTGAATGACTGGCTGACTGATTGCATGCTTCTCTTTCCTAGAGGGATAGTAGATGACTTAGAAATTCAGAGAGCCTATACGCCCATCAGCCCTGCCAACGCAGAAGGATACTTTGAAGTGTTAATTAAGGTAAGTTGACCCTTGAGGATGCTCTAAGATGCCATGGACTTATGCCTCCTTTGCCAAGTTGGTCATGAGGGGGAGGTTCCTACTGATGTGGAAAAAGCCAGGGTTCACAGGAAAGGAGGCTGACTTAAGGGAGGAGCAGGGACAGGTGAAGGCCTTTTTCCATCTGATTTCCCGGGGAAGGGACTGCTGCTAGACCACCAACAGAGGTCTATTCCAGTATATCCCTGAAAGATTTTACTAAAAGATGGCGCAGACTGAGAAGGGGAAGAAGGGAAAGCTGCTCCCCTCACTTTTCTGCCATCCATGGAGAGTGAGTACCAAGCTGGGCAGGGAAAGGGAGCCAAGGTCCCCCATACCCACTGTGTGCTGAGCACGGGGGTCCAGAAGTGAGTCAGGCACAGTGCCTGCCCTCAGGATACCTGCCCAGGACAAGCAACCAGATTAGGATGATACAGCATGACAGATTTCCTGACATAAAGAGGCCCAGCCCACTCAGCAGCTGGGGTGCAGGGAAGGCAGGCTGGGCTTCCTTGGAGAAGCCATGTGTCTAAAGAGTGGAGAGCTAGAGGGAAAATGTGGGAAGGAAACTCAGTGCTGGGAACAACATGGACAAAGGCAATTGGGGAAGTAAGTTCTTTTTCCTGGAACAGAAGGGAGGTGTGCTGAGGGAACAGGATATAAGCTGAGAGGATTAGGTAAGAGCTGGGACATGGAGGAGCTTGTGGACAGGACTAACCTGACATCACCTCTCAGGAGAAGGTGGGCAGAACCACGGGCATTTGAGTTGGACCTTGAAGAAGTATTACAAATTGGCAGTGACCGTAAATGGCATTCTAGGCTGAAGGGATGGTTAACCAAAGGTTGGGTGGAGTGAAATAGAACAAGTCTTCTGGGAACTGTACCCAGCCTGAGAGACAGGAGGAGAGGGTGCTTGTGGGGCAGGCGGGGTGGATGGAGGAATTGCCAGAGATGAGATGAACAAAGTAGATTGAACACAAAACACCCTGGAGACCCAAGGAATAGGCAACAAATATGTAAGAAGTTGTGGAGGCCCAATTACATGGAAAGAATAATTAGGTTAAGCTACATGAAACTGCTGATATTCTAACTTTTTTAAAGAAGCATCAGCTTCATTTCGGTCAACCTAATACAGCTCTAGATCATCATTTCCCCAATGGAATCATAATACTAATATGTAAGGATGGTGTTCACATCTTTAATCTACCTTAAAAGACATGAATTATTATCTATATTTCATTGATAAGCAAACTGAGTCCCCCAGAGGCCCCATGGCCCCACAGCTAGTAAGAAATGCTGCCAGTAGGTGAGTCCTGACCCCGAGACCTTAGCACTGTCTCCAGCTCCTGCCTTCCTGCCTGCCTTCCGAGGCCTAGTGTTTATTCCCTCACACATAAGCTTGGATGGGATCCCTTCATGCAACTGTTTGTCTGGGAGATTCCACAAATCCTCTCCAAATGGCCTGCTTCCCCAAGCTGCTCGTCGGAGTGTGTTTCTATGGAAAGCATAAGCCTGGAGTCAGTTCTTCAGGGCAGCTGGATCTCTCCCAGCTGCAAGGCTGATTTTGTCCTTCGTTTACCAGAAAGCCTCTCTTTAGAGAGATGCCTAATTATCTCTAAGCCACTGGCTAGGAAGAGCCAGAAATGTCTTTGCAAGTTGGGAAGGCAGGCAGGGCTTATCGTTTGACCCTCCCATGCAGAAGGGAAGGAGGACCTCTCATCTCTCAGGCACCTTCTGGGCATCAGGCACTGCCTCTGGCTCTTTATTCTAATTATCTTATTTCAATCTCATGATCACCCTGCAGAGTAGATCATATTATTCCCATTTTACAGATGAAGAAACTGAAGCTCAGAAGATGACATCATTTGTCCCAAGGCCCCTCGGGTAATATAAGAACAAAAGTTCAGTGTCAGTTCTGTTTAACAAGTATGTGTTGGACATTTACTCTGTGCCAGGCTCTGTGTGAGTATGTATTAGTCTCTTTTTACACTGCTGATAAAGACATACCTGAGACTGGGCAATACCAAAGAAAGAGATTTAATGGGCTCACAGTTCCACATGGCTGGGGAGGCCTCACAATCATGGTGGAAGGCGAAAGGCATATCTCACCTGGTGGCAGACAAGAGAAAAGAGCTTGTGCAGGGAAACTCTTCTTTATAAAACCATCAGATCTCATGAGACTTATTCACTCTCATGAGAACAGTACGGGAAAGACCTGCCCCAATGATTCAGTTAGCTCATACTGGGTCCCTCCCACAACACATGGAAATTCAAGGTGAGATTTGAATGGGGACATAGCCAAGCCATGTCAGAGTACTAAAGACAACATAGAAGAATCCTTCCCTTCTCCTTGGGTGCTATCTATGTATGCCATATGGCCTCTAAGGCCACAGCTGGGGTCATGCCTCCCGCTAGACTGGGGCCAGAAAACAAAGTTTGCATGGAGACAGCCTCCAGCAAGGCAGAAGAAAACCACACCTTTCCTTTCGACCCCTTCCAGTTGAGCCAGGGGCTTCCCTTGTCTTGTGCAGGTGGTGCCCAAGGAAGGCAAGGGAGATGGTTATGGGTACTTACAAACAGGTCTGGGGTCCAAAGCCCTGTCTCTCCATTAAGCCTGGCTATAATCTTACTCCAAACACCATTCCAGTCCTGTCTCCCAGTGCTTTGCCCTCACCCTCACCCTACCATGTTCACTTGCTGTTCCCAAAACATGACCCAGGCTGTCCTACACCTGACCATAGTACACCTGATGTCCAGAGCCCTCTCTGCACCCCTGCTCCCATTCCCAGTGAATTCCATCTTGCCCGTATTTCAAGGTCCGACTCAAATGCTTCCTCCTCCAGGAAGCCATCCTTGATTCCGTCCATGGAAGTGACTGTACCCTTCTCAGGTTTATTCCTAGTTTATTTTTCTCATGGGTATTAGATGGTTGGTCTCTACCTTGTATATGTCTGAGACTTAGGTTCCTTCTAGATTGTGAGCTCCTTAAGGGGAGAGCCTGAATCTGAATCTGGATTGATTGATTCAGATATTAATATTAAGTTATTTCCATGGTTCAGGCACTGGCTACTTTCATGAAGCTTAAGATCTAGCTGTCTTGCCTGCGTCCTCAGTGTGGTGCCTGGCACAGAGTGGGCAGTGAAGTGACCCAGGAAATATAGACTCCCGTCCCCATGGAGGAATCACTCCTATAACCTTCATTTTTCATCTAGCCAGGAGATGGTGTAGAATAATGCAGAGACTGCAGATGGGTGGCCTGCAAACTGAATCTGGCCCACAAATGTATTTGGTATTGGCCAGCATAGAGTTTTAAAATTTTAAATTAATTGCAGACATTTCAGAAATGGGAGTTTTTAAATAAAAATATGGATTTCCTGCTGATTTTGGAAATTCAATAGATCTGGCCAATTAGGCCCCACAAACTATGGACTGAAACCTGCAAAGTGGCTTCCCTCCTTAGAAGGAGCATTCGCTCACCAATTTATCATAGTCCCTGTCACTCCCTATTGGCTCCTGACACTGAGACTGTGTGTTAATTGCCATTAATCATCACCCAGCTATTCACTCATTTATGGTACCTGCATGGGCCCTGTGGGCATTCGGGTTTGGGACCTCTATGCTGAAGGCTTTAGGTCCTATGGATTCTCATCCCAGCCTCCTATCTACCTTCTGGATAAGCTTCTGGGCCTCATCTGAAAACTGGGAATGGCTGTACCAACTTTGTAGGATGAAGAGAATGATTAAATGAAAATAACACGTATGAAGCACTTAGCGTACAGAATGGGCTCGACATTAATGGCTAATCTGGTTTGTGTTGGCAGCATGTACTTGTCCTACTGACGTCTCCCTGTGTTTGCTTCCAGTGCTACCAGATGGGGCTGATGTCTCGGTATGTTGAGTCCTGGAGAGCAGGAGCCATAGCTTTCTGGCGAGGACCTTTCGGAGATTTCTTCTATAAACCAAACCAGGTCAGTGCCAGCACCTTAAATCTTCTAGAGATCCCCGTTGTCTGTGGTTTTCATGTTTCAGCCCACAGTATCTCACTGTGCTATTATCCCTGAGCTCAAACCCAATCTCAAGTGTATCCTAGGGGTTGGACATGGGAAGAGATGAAATAGACACTTATAAATGAAACTGCCTGGTCAGCTCCAAAGCTATCCAGGATGGCCATTGCTTAGAACATCAGACTCACGTATTTGGCATTTAGGAGCTCTCTGCCTCAGACGCCTTTCCAGTTTCACAGTGCAATCACATGACTAAATATACCCCACTACTTCCTGCTTGGGAGCCCACTACTTCCCAGCTCGGATGGCTCTTCCCCTCCGCGTCATCTTGGCATGTCCAAACCCTTCCCCAACTTTCCCAGGAAGAATTTGTAATTTCTCATCAGTTGGTGCGTATCTAGAAAGCATTTTGACAGTATGTACCAAGAGCCTTCCGAACCTTCAAATTCTTTGCCCCAGTAATTCCAGTTCTGGACTACTGTCTTATGGAATGAATCAAAATGCTGGCTCTTTGGCGTTTGTTCATTGCATTTTTATTTATAATAGCCGAAAATTGGAAACAACTGAATATCCAACAGCAGGGGAACAGTTAAATACACTGGATTATAGGTACTTGATAAAATAATATCCTGGATTTTAAGATTATGTTTATAAATGATGTTATACTTATGCTGTAAGATCAAGTGACAAATGCTAGGTACAAAACTGAATATACAGGAGGTTGGGAAACTAAGTTAAAATGCACAGACTATGAAAATAAAATGCAATGAAATGTTAGCAGCTCTGGGTGGTGGACTTATGGGTGATTTTTATTTTCTTCATTATACTTTCTAAACCATTTGCAGTGAACACCTATTACCTTTACAATTAGGAAAACAAAGCAAAATGCAAACAAACGGAAAAGAATGAATTATGCCTTCCTCTCCATTCTTTTTGTTTAATTTTAAAATAACTTTTATTGGCTGGGTACAGTGGCTCACACCTGTAATCCCAGTACTTTGGGAGGCCAAGGAGGATGGATCACCAGAGGTCAGGAGTTTGAGACCAGCCTGGCCAACATGGCAAAAACCCCATCTCTACTAAAAATACAAAAAATATTAGCCAGGCGTGGTGGCACATGCCTGTAATCCCAGCCACTTGGGAGGCCAAGGTGTGAGAATTGCTTGAACCCAGGAAGCAGAGGTTGCAGTGAACCGAGATCTTGCCACTGCATTCCAGCCTGGGCAACAGAGAGAGACTCTCTCTCAAGAAAAAAGAAAAAGAAAAATAGCTTTTATTGTTTTTTCCCTGTTATAAATGCAGTACATGTTCATTACCCAAAAATCATCAGATGGAAAGAGGCAAAAAGAAGAAAATAAAACACACAGGCAATCTACTCAGACACACCCATCTTACAGCTGTATACCCTTCCAAATCCTCTTCCACATGAGTATATGTACAAATGCACACTGCATGCACATGTGTAATATGTATGTATAATAATATCAGGGGCCGGGTGCAGTGGCTCAAGCCTGTAATCCTAGCACTTTGGGAGGCCGAGGCGGGTGGATCACAAGGTCAAGATATCGAGACCATACTGGTCAACATGGTGAAACCCCGTCTCTACTAAAAAAAAAAATACAAAAAATTAGCTGGGCATGGTGGCGCGTGCCTGTAATCCCAGCTATTTGGGAGGCTGAGGCAGGAGAATCGCCTGAACCCAGGAGGCGGAGGTTGCAGTGAGCCGAGATCGCGCCATTGCACTCCAGCCTGGGTAACAAGAGTGAAACTCCCTCTCAAAAAAAAAAAAAAACTTAAAAAAAAAAATAAATAATATCAAACACTTGTAGCACCTCATGCGTGCCAGGCTCGGACCTTAGCACTCGCTATATAGTGACTTACATAATCTTCACAGCAGCACTTAGATGCTACAACTCCCATTCTACAGACATGTGCTATGCATACGGGTTTTTTCTTTTGTTTTATTCTTTAATTTCTGTATCTTCCCATAAACCTATGCATATGTTAATACTCTTTCATAGTATTCTCCTAGTACTAACCATGCATCCCCCAGGTCCTTGAGAGCAGGGAATAGAAACTGTGTTTCCTCCCGGCCTAGAGTGGGTAACAGATGAACGTTGTCTTGACCCCTTTTCTGGTGGAGCCTCCCTATGCCTTGTGGCTGCTCCTTCACATGCATAGAACACTTGAAAGGCCCTACATTTATTTCCTGCCTTCCTGCCTTCCTTCCCTCCCTCTGTTGCCAGGCTGGAGTGCTGTCATAGCTTACTGCAGCTCCACCTACTGGGCTCAAGCAATCCTCCTGCCTCAGCCTCCCAAGTAGCTGGGACTACATGTACATCACCATGCCCATCAAAGTTTTATATTTTTTGTAGAGACAGGTTTCTCCAGGTTGCCCAGGCTGGTCTCAAACTCCTTGGCTCAAGTGATCCTCACCTCAGCCTCCCAAAGTGCTGGGATTACAGGCATGAGGCACCGTGTCCAGCTCCTGCATTTCTTATCTAGGGAGGTTGTAGGGCCTGATGGTGAGGAAAAAGAAATGGTGACTCCCACCTTAATATGCATTCACTGAAATTTCAGTAAGCCTTGGTTTTGCCCCATGAGGAGGTCTGGGAAGCTCCTGCCTTCTTCCAGGCCCAGTTTTACTGCTCTGCAGTCATCTTCATTACAGATGGATATTACAGCAGCCCTGTAGACTGATATATTAGCATCTGTCTGTGCATTCATTTAACAAACAGACACAAGTGTCCACCCAGGGCCAGGCCTGTACTGCACTCTGGGGACCCAGTACAGAGATGGGTCAGATAAGGCCCCTGTCCTCCAGAAGCTCATAGTCTGCTGGGGGAGTCAGATACACAGACAGATGACAGCAGCACAGTGTGGCCAGTGTGGTGTAGAGGGATTCAGAGGGAGCTGTGGAAACACAAAGAAAGGACCCTCCCCTGCCCCGGATCGGGGAAAGCCTCCTAGAGGATAGCCCAAGCTGGGATGGGAGGAGGAGCAGTAGCTGCCAGGCAGGAGTCTCCGCAGCTTGGGGAAGGGGAGGAATCTAACTGGATCTGCACCAGGCACTTTCTTTTTTGTTTGTTTTGTTTTGTTTTGTTTGAGACAGGGTCTCACTCTGTTGCCCAGCTGGAGTGCAGTGGCATGATCATGGCGCACTATAGCTCCAACCTCCTGAGCTCAAGCGATCCTCCTGTCTCAGCCTTGAGTAGCTGAGATTACAGGCATGAGCCACCAAACCCAGCCAACTTTTCTTCAACTTATTTCATCTTTGTAACAGTTCTGAGATAGGTGCTATTATGGGAAAGTGCTTTTCTTGTTTTACCACTGAGGACACTGAGGCTCAGATTGGTGAAAGAGCTTGCCCAGATCACATGGTTGGGGATTTATACCCAGAGTCCTAATCTCTAGAATGAGGTAGGTGAATACTCCTCTTTAAGATCTGTGCCTTAAAGATACTTAAAGCATTGCTCAGGTACTAACCTTTAAGGCACTGACCTTAAAGAGGTCACCCCTCTTTAAGAGGCCTAGAGCCAATAAATAAATTCAGTGAGGAGGAATTGATGGAACTGGGACCTCTTGGGGTGGGAACTCACCTTTTTTTTTTTTTTATTTGAGATGGAGTCTCTCTCTGTCACCCAGGCTGGAGTGCAGTGGCATGATCTTAGCTCACTGCAACCTCCACCTCCCAGGTTCAAGTGATTCTCCTGCCTTAGCCTCCTGAGTAGCTGGAACTACAGGCATGCACCACCACGCTTGGCTAAATTTTGTATTTTTAGTAGAGATGGGGTTTTGCCATGTTGGTCTCGAACTCCCGACCTTAAGTGATCCACCCGCCTCAACCTCCCAAAGTGCTCCGATTACAGGCATGAGCTACCACACCCAGCTGGGAATTCACCTTTTTCAGGTGACTCTTTTGTGCCAGTGCTGTGCTACATGCTTATGCATATTTTTTCATTTAGTCTGTTGATGAGCAAGCTCAGAGGTCCAAGGTGGGCCCTTGAGATCTCTGCAGAGGTACCCTGGGGCAGAGGAAGCATTCCAGGGCTGGAATGGTGTTGGGAGTGGCCAAGGCTTTGATGGGAACAGATTTCAGTTCATGTAAGTTGTGAAGACCTCTCTGGCAAAGGACTTGGCTTGTAGTAGAGCAAACTGCCTTGGGAGGTAGTTTGCTCCCTGTCAGCAGAAGTGTGTAAGCAGAGAGTCCTTGTGGAGATTCTTTAGTAGGCAACTAGGCCACTTACAGGAATGGCTATAATATTATGTTCCCTTTCAGCCCCCATATCCTGTCATCTCTGTTACTCAAACCTCACATGCCTTTCACAAGCAAAGTTGGCTTTCTGGAGGAGGTAGAGAGGGGACATAGGTGGTTGGACACCCAGGAAGGGCACTGCCATCCAGTTGAAGGAAGCATGAGGAAAAACCCCATAGTAGAGGGGATAGGGTGAGACTCCCCCAACCCACCTGTCATACATACCTGTTCTATTCCCCAGTATGGTGAGCTCCTCATGTTGGCTGCGGGCACAGGCCTGGCCCCCATGGTTCCCATCCTGCAGAGCATCACAGACAATGAGAATGATGAGACTTTTGTCACTCTGGTTGGTTGCTTCAAGACCTTTGAGAGCATCTACCTGAAAACCTTCCTCCAAGACCAGGCCCGTTTCTGGAACGTCCGTACCTTCTTTGTACTCAGCCAGGTGAGCCCAGGATGGTGACTTCCTTTCTTGATTGAGACTCTGCTGTCCCTTTGCACCTGTCCTGAGGACCAGCTGTAGCCTCTTTGGCCATAGACAGTGCAGTCATAATCCCTGCCACTGGTGGAGCACCTACCTGTATGTAGCACAGAAGGCAGGTGTTCTCACGTTCATTATACAGATGAGGAGACCCATGCTCTGGGAGTGAAGCTGCCCACCGGCTGCTGGACAGGGTTGAGGCCAGGATTTGAGCCCAGGGCTGTCTGGTTGCCAAACTCTGGCTCTCACCCCATGCATTCCTGCCTCCCATTGCCCTCTGGCATCACCAGTGACATGGGCAGGGGCCTGGCTGTGGGGGCTGGGGCAGGCTGCAGACCTCCCTCCAGCTGAGTGACGTTCCTTGAGGCAGGGACCACATGTCTGCCTCAGCACTCTCTCTCGAGTGCTTAGCATAATGCCAGACACAGAACAGGGACTCCATCAGTGACTGCTTGAGTAAACTGATCTGAGTTCCCTGAGCTTGCTAGTATCCTCCCACCTCAGCCTGTCCCTCCATTGGAAGACCCCACCTTAGCTGGCAGTGACTCTCCCTGTTGACCCCTTCTCCAGCTGACTCTATATCCCCTCTGTTCGTGCAGGTGAACCTTCTAGGGCCACCCCCATAGGCCAGAGCACAGGCCTCATCTTTGCCCCTCATCTCAAGCCAGGCCCTCAGCTACCTTTGGTGGCCTGCCTTTCCCTGGTTGACAGCTTAACTTTTCCCTCCTGTCCCCCATGGGTTGGGGTTCCTGCTGGGACCCCTGCATTCTATGGTGCTCAGGGTCAGCCTTCTTGCCTGGTCCTATGGAGTGTCTTCCCATCTGGTCCCCCTATGAGACAGCTTTGTATAGTCCCTGAACACTTATTTGATCCTCAATATTGTGGCTGGGTGTGGGGGGTAAGGAAATTGGATTTCCTGTCCCAATATCAGGGTCCCTAGGCTCCCCGGGGGCTGTGGTCTGCGGACCTGTCTATGGGGCAGAATGTTCAGTGGCATGACATTGAGAGCATGGTGAACATTCATGGCAGCAGGAAAGTGCCCAAGGGAGGGGAATGGAGCCAAAGGCTAACATGCAGCCCGAAGGGTGGGCAGGGGGGTTGGGCCACCATTGCCCAGCAGCACAGACGGCCTGCCTGAGATGGCCCTGCCTGGGCAAGGATGCCTGGAGGAGGGCAGGAAGGCAGGCACCTGGCAGAGGGTCCCCAAGCTGCTGGCCAGTCTTCCTTTCCCTCCTCTATTGCCTGAGTACATGCCAGGTATCAGAGACACAACAGTGAAGGTGACCCACTCCCAGCCCCCGGCTGTCCACCTGTCTGTGGGTGACAGCCATAGAGATGGCTGAAAAGGACTCCCCTTCATTCAGCACATTCTCTATACCCAGCACCATTCTAAGCACTTTATTAACTCATTTAATCTCCACCACAATCTCAGGAGGCTTATATGCCCATCATGCTCCTTGTGGAAACCAAGGCACAGAATGGTTAGGAACCTTGCCCAGGGTAGCACTGCTGGTTAGTGGAGAGTGGAGTATGAACCCAGGAAGTCCTGCTCAAAGGCTGCGCTCCTCAGAATAAAGCAGCATAGCACAAGGTGCTGTGAGGGTATTCAGGATGCCAGCGGTGGGCAAGAGAGGCCAGGCAGGGTCAGGAGGGCTTTACCAAGCATGTGGCATTTAAGTTAAAGTTCACTAGCAATAGAAGATCTTCAGCTACCAGCTAGGCCAGGGCGGTGGTAGTGGCCTTGGGGTTGGGTAGGCAAGTAGGCTGGCCATCAGTGGCAGGTGAAGGGGAGACTGGTGGCTCCTGCTTGTCCACACTCTTGACTCAGCGTGCTCCCTCCCCTGCCTGGGCCACAGCTGCAGCATTCTCAAGAGTCTTCCCATCCCAGCCACTCTCTGCCAATTTATCCTGCAGTCCTGAGGGCAGATCTGACCACACCACCACCCCATTTCCAGCCCTTCCCTGGCTCCCTACTGCTCACAGGATGAGGTCCAAGCCCGGGAACTGCCACCCTCTTCAGCCTCATCTCCTAGCCCACCTTCCCTGTAAGCTGTGGCCTGATGTCACTGCTCTGCCCATGGTTGTAAATGTGCTGGGCTTTTCTGGCTGCTGGGCCTTTGCTCACACCATTCCCCTTGCCAGGAGTGCTCCCCCTTCCTCACCTCACACCTCTGTAGCCCTCACATCCCTGTTGAGGTATAAGTGCATCCTGGAAGCTTTCCTAGAGCTCCCAGGCTGGCCTTGGTGTTTCTGCTGCTACTGCCCTGGCTCTCCTTCATGGCACCCACCTGCTGCACCATCACTGTTTGTGGGGTCCCCTACCCATCTCAGCAGCAGCCAGGCCCAGGGCATCTCAGGGTGTATGATGGCATGGGCTGTGCTGAACCTAAGTGGTCTGAGGGAATTGAGCAGTGGAAAGGGAAGGTGAGGCCAGTGGGCCCCAAGGCTTCACCTGGTGGGTCAGACCATAGTGAGATCATGGGAAATGCCAGATCATCGGAGAGGATACCCCTTATTAGCACAGGCTCTGTGAGATAGGACCCTGTTTATTTTGTTTGCTTTTGTTTTGAGACAGGGTCTCACTCTGTTGCCCAGGCTGGAATGTAATGGTGCAATCACAACTCACTGAAGCCTCAACCTCCCTGGGCTTAGATGATCCTCCTACCTCAGCCTCCCAAGCAACTGAGACTACAGGCATGGTCCGCCATCCCTAGCTAATTTTTGTATTTTTCATAGAGACCAGCTTTTGTCACATTGCCCAGACTGGTCTTGAACTCCTGGGCTCAAGCGATCCTCCCACCTCAGCCTCCCAAAGTGCTGGGATTACAGGCATGAGCCACTGCACCTGCCTCCAGGGCCCTTTGAGTATGCTTCAGAATAGAGGCCATTCCTCACAGGCCTCTGCCAGGGCTTACACCAGCACTGTGGCTCTCTGTACAGTGGCTTTCCATAGCAGATACTCTCCTCACAATCATGATCCTGAGAGGCCACAGTCACTCAGCCAGGAAAGTGGCAGCGGAGCTCTACCCCACACCAGTCCTGTCTTTGTGCCTAGCCCCAGGAACTAGCAACTTGCCCTCATAGGATCTGCAGAATGATAGCTGTTCTGGATTTTTTTTCTTTGTGGGCTGGTTACATAGTTTCTTCATTTAAATTCTTCAGACTATATATATAGTTGTCCCTCGGTATCCATGGGGGCTTGATTCCAGGACCCCCTGCAGATACCAAAATCTGAGGATACTCAAGTCCTTGATATAAAAGGGTGTGGGATTAGCATATAACCTACGCACATCCTCCCACGTGCCTTAAATCATCTCTAAATTATAATACCTAATATAATGTAGATGTTAAGTAAGTGGCTGTTATACTGTATTGTTTTTTATTTGTGTTTTCATTACTATATTGTTATTTTTTAATGTTTTTCTAAAACTATTTTCAATCCACAAGGTTGAATCCACAAATGTGGAACCCATGGATACAGAGGGCTAGCTGTATACTAGCCACTGTTCAGAGAGCTGCAGTGCTGGTGTAATTAATGCCCACCGTATACTTAATATTTTATACGCTTTTCTACATGTACGTTGTATTCTAATAAAATGTTCACTTAAATACATTTTCTTCAAGTCACCTGGGAGTGGAGTCTTCATTTTGTGATCCTGAGGAGAAAAGCCACAGCTGAGGCTAGAAGGGCAGAGAGAGGGATCCTGGGTTCCAGCCTTGGAATGCAAGCTTAGCCTTTCTTGATGAAGGCACTGTGTCCTGGGATCTGTGTTGTATGCAGCCAGGACCCTTGTCTGTTTTGAGCAGCTGCCATATCCCCAGCAGCTAGCTCAGTGCCTGGCACAGAGTAAGCACTTGGTAAATACCTGCTAAATGAATACGTTCATTGAAACCTTAAAACAAATGAGGAAAAGTTATGCTCCAAGGGTGATGATGATGGCTAACGGTGGAAAGATTCTGGGAAACCCACAGTCAGGAGAGAAAACGTTCCTCCACAGTGGCAGGTGCAATGGCTGCTGGGAGGCAATGAGAAATGGCAGGACTTGAGTTCTAGTCCTGCTGTTGCCCCCGACTCATTGTGTGCCCTGGGGAAGTTCCTCTCCCCTGGGCCTCTCTTGTCATGGGAGAGTGATAGCCTTCCCACAGGCTTGTTTTTCAGGTGAGGAGGAAGTGCCTGGCCCGTGGTGGGACTGGATACAGGTTGGCTTCCTACCCCTTCTGCCTCAATTTCCTCATTTTTCAGAAATGAGCTGGCTGTGAGAACACTAAGGACCCCTCACTCCCTCGTAGTCACCCATACCTTTCTTGTCTTCCCAGGAGAGCTCCCCAGAGCGGCTTCCCTGGAGTTACCAAGAGAAGACCCGCTTTGGCCGCCTGGGCCAGGACCTGATTAAAGAGCTGGTCAGCTGCTGTCGGAGAAAGCCATTCGCACTGGTCTGTGGCTCAGCTGAGTTCACCAAGGACATAGCCAGGTGCTTACTGTGTGCAGGCCTCACTGAGGACTCCTACTTCCTCTTCTAGCCCTGGCCTCCCTTCCAAAGCCCAGGCCAGGGGCCTGCTACTGGGACCCAGGAAGGAGCACAGACTGAAATCAGAAGACACGGAGTCCAGGCCTGGTCCTGCTGCTCATTTGCCAGGTGTCCGTTACTGCTCAGACCTCTACTTCTCATCTGCCCCTTGAGGTTAATTACTTCTCCTGGCCTCCTACTATCTGGAGGAAAGACAGACTGTAGGGGTCCAGAGGAGGTGAGCAGCCAGCCTGGGAGTGAGGGAGGACTCCTCAGAGGAAGCCAAGTCCAGGCTGAGCCCCAGGAGGAGTAGGAGTTGGGCAGTGGAAGAGTCAGGAGGAGCTTCTCTGACCCCTCTGATTAGAGGATCTCTTGGGGGCTACAGCTGTGGCCTCAGCACCATCTCAGATTAGGGGCTCCTGGGTGTGTAGGGAAGGACACAGGAGAGGCTAAGAGCTCTTTGGAGGAGGACCCTACCTTTCCTCCAGTGCCATGAGCCTGACACAAAAAGGTCTTGGGTTCTATGACTTGACCATGTCCTGAGAGCAAGACGGGGCCCTGGAGTTTGTATTGATCCCAAACCTTTCCTGCTGTGAACAGCTTCATTCTCAGTCCCCTTTCTTGGCTCAAGAACCCAGCCTAGCAAAAGAGGCGCGGGAAGGAAATGCCCCTCCCTCCTGCAGGCAGCCGCTCAGCCTGTGCCTTCAGCTCGGTGCCCTAGTGACTGTTGCTATGGAGATCTAAAGATAGAGCAGGAGTCAGGAGACCTGGGTCCTTCTCCCAGCTCTGCCCACTGAGTGGCTGCCGATTCCAGTCACCCACCCCAGGAACCCAGAGGCCCTGGGCAACGCACTGCAGTTAATGAATTCTGATTTTCACAGCTTGGGCTCCGGCATGCTGCACCAGCTCGGGCTGGCTACAGGCAATCCCAGAATCTGAATACTAAGCCATGGAATCTTAGAGTTAGACTTTTATAGTCATAGAAGTATACTCCTCACCATATCAAAGCTGAAAGTTCAGGACTCCAAGAAACACACAGTGTGACAGACTTATTGTATACATGGGGAAACTGAAGCCCAATGAGGCTAAATGACTTTCCCAAGGTAAAACAGTCCATGGCAGAGCCAAAACTACAAGCCTCCTACTTTCAACCTCATGTATGAGTTCTGCACCAGTGGTTTTCAAACTGTGCTCCAAAGAAGATGAGGGTCCTTTGCATAGCAGCAGTGAAAGGACAGCTCCAGATGGATCCCCAGACCCCCTTCAACCAGAGCAGTTCTGTTTTTATCCCGTTCGTTTATTGGGCTTGGAGTAATTATTTGTACAAAAGGATTTTCCTATCCCACGCAAAAAAATTGCAACAAATCTCTCTACTATGTCACATTTAATAAATAATTATGATACAGAGCTGGGGGATGGTGCAGAGGTTCAAACTGTTTCACAGGCAGAGTTCCAGGGTCAGAGAGCATGGAGTACTGTGTGTGACCTTCTCCCAGAAGCATGGGCATAGGAGCATGTTAACTCCTTTCATTTTGTTTAACCCAGAGTTTCTCAAGCTTATTTAACTAAAGAATACTTTTCTATGGGTTTCATAACCTCTTTCTAGCACAGTATAATGAGTGGGAAAGGCCCTGACTGAGAGTCAGAGATTCCGAGCAGGAGCCATGATCTCTTCCTGCCTGGCCTGTGACTTGGGCAAGACACTTTTCCTCTCCCCAGGCCTCTGAGGTCTGCGAGTCTTCCTCCACCCTTTCCTCTCCGTCAGTTAGCATGTCCTATTGACTCAGCTCCAAATAGCGGGGGGCTTGTCAGGAGCCTGACTCTGTTCAGACATCAGGGGAACAACAGCACACCAGTTGCAGTTATGTCCATGGGAGAACTTACAGCCTAGCAAGGAAGGCAGAAATTCAACCTGTCATTGTGAAAGGGATGGCGTCATGAGAAGGGAAGTGCAGAGTGCTGGGGGAATGGATGGCAAGGGCTTTAGCCTAGTCTAGGGAAAGGCCAGGGCGCACCACTGCCACTGGGGATAGAGGCTTCAGAAGCTTCCAAATCTCTCAATATTAAGAGTGTTGCCGGGCCTGGTGGCTCACACCTGTAATCCCAGCACTTTGGGAGGCTATAGCGGGCAGATTGCCTGAGCCCAGAAGTTCAAAACCAGCCTGGCCAGCATGGCAGAACCCTGTCTCTACAAAAAATAAAAATAAAATACAAAGATTAGCCTGGTGTGGTGGTGTGCGCCTGTAGTCCCAGCTACTCTGGAGGCTGAGGTGGGAGTATTGCTTGAGCCAGGGAGGTCGAGGCTGCTGTGAGCTGTGATTGAGCCACTGCACTCCAGTCTGTGTGACAGAGCAAGACCCTGTCTAAATAACAACAATAATAATAAAATCAAAAAGAATGTTAAGGACAACTCCACTTAAGGAATAGAGGTCTGGGGCAGTTCTTGTGTCTCTGTCCCTGTCTCGTTATAGATGTATGATATTTAGATAGTAGACAAGGCCGCCCATTGGTAACCAACAGCCCTTTTGTCCTAGAATGTGTTGACCTCCTCTTTCCCTCAGTCTGTGTAGGTTCTTTGCAGCCTGGCTGCTGGTGGGATCTCTTATCATGGGACATTGGTGAGGACCCAGTCATGCCCCTGGTGCCAAGAAGCCTAAAGGGCTCCTGTCACCTGAAAACTTGAGAGTGCAGGGCCAGGTGCTGTGCCCTACAAGGTGCTGAGCAAGCCTAAGAACAGTGTGGGGTGTGGTGTGTGAGTTCAGACCTCTTGGAGCTGGGGCGGGAGGGGGTGCTTCCATCATCCATCAGCTGCTGTTCCTCTGATGATGCCCACTGCGTGTTGTGGGAGGCATGACCACCGTGTGATGTTGCAGTGGGAGAAGGGAGACTTAGGAGCTAGACATGACACACAGGCATGGAGAAGTCAACAAAGTGTTCGCAATCTGTGAGCCAGACAGAGCTCTCTGTGTGCATGCATCCCGAGCTTCAGGAAGGCAACAGATTATTGGTAGCAGAAGCGGTGACAGCTTCAGTTCACCCCTCACCACGTTTACCAGTGCCACTTCAGTGCTCCCCTCATGGGTCTCCCATCTCCCAGTCTCCCGTCCATGCCACCTCCATGCCAAGATCAGACCCATTTTTCCCACACACAAATCCAAGTCTGTCACTCCCCTGCTTGAAATCCTTCCCTGTTTCCCCATAGCCTTGGGGTATGGCCTGTCTGCTCTGCCTACCTCTCCAGACTTATTCTATGCCCTGGCCTGCTCGCACCTACCTCTCAGGCTCCAAACATGTTCTCTTGCCTCAGCCCATCCTTTATATTTGCAGCTTCCTCTGCCTGGCCAGCCTCCCAACTTCCCATCTCCCACTCACCTTTTTTGCCTCCTCCTCATCTTCTAAGCTCTCAGCTCAGTGTCACTTCCTCTGAGAGCCTCACCTGTCGCTTCCACTCCAGCTTGGTCAGTTAGCAGAGAGGTGTGCGTGCTTTTCTGTCACTGCACCCATCAGTCTCATCTGCATGTGAGCATGAGGGCCGGCCCATTGTACCTCGGACAGGGGAGGATGCTCAGCACTTCCTGAATGTCGAATACCTGAGCGATAGACACCTAATCTTCAAGAAGTGCTTTCCATGTGGTTAAATGCATTTCCTTTACTTTGAAGCACAGAATCTTCCCCAAAATATAAGCTATTTTATGACCCCAATTTACTGATGAGGAAACTAAGCTTCTGAGACTTCAAGCAGTTTTCCAAGGTCATGTAGGGGTACACAAGTTCCAGCATATTGTGATTGTTGTAAAGGTTGTATGTGACACATGAGTGCACCCAGAGATGTATATAAAGATTTTTATTGACGGTCAGTCATGGTGGTTCACATCTGTAATCCCAGCACTTTGGGAGGCCAAGACGGGTGGATCACCTGAGGTCAGGAGTTGGAGACCAGCCTGGCCAACATGGAGACACCCTATCTCTACTAAAAATACAAAAATTAGCCAGGTGTGGTGGTAATCCCAGCTACTCAGGAGGCTGAGGCAGGAGAATCGCTTGAACCTAGGAGGCGGAGATAGCAGTGAGGCAAGATCGTACCACCACACTCCAGCCTATGCGACAGAGCAAGACTCAGTCTCAAAAATAATGAAAATGATTTTTATTGCTGCATTCTCTGAAATAGCAAAGAATAAAAATTGCCTGTTATGTCCATCAAAAAGCAGATGGAGAAACGCAGTTGTATATTCAGACAGTGGATACAGCAATTAAAGTGAACTCCATCCACATGTACCAATATAGACAAAGTAAAAACATAACTGAGTGAAATGCACATTGTGAAAGGGTAGCTACAGTGAGATACCTGTTCTTGGAAAGTAAAAACCCAAAATAATGCCAAATACTCAGGAGGAGACACACCAACTTCAAGGATAGTGGTGGCCTTTCGTGATAGACAGAACGGAATGGGACGGGGTGACAGGGCTTGTAGCCATATCCATATGTGTATTTTACTATAAAAATACTTGACATGAACATGGCAAAATATGAACACCTGGTGAATCTGGGCAATGAGTTCCCCAAAGTCTGCTGTATTATTTTCTGCCTTTTTCTGTGTTTGAGATAGTTCCACAATTAAAGATTGTTTTAAAAGTCAAATGTGCTTGTTCAATGCTCTCTAGAAACTAGGGGCTTAGAAACATTCACTTTCTTTCTCCTACCTCAGAATAGGCTGTGCCCCTTTATCCCCCCAGACATTTTAGTCATTCACTGAAGATCATTTCTGAGCACCTACTGTGTTCCAGGCCCTGTTCTAGGTGCAGGAGACAAAGCAGTAAATCATGTCAATCATTCCTGGTATTCATAGCTGATGTGCTGTTCCCTCAACTTGTCCCTCTTCCTCATAAAGGTCAATGCAGCAGACCTAGGTTCGAGTCTGTTACTCATCTGTGACCCATGGCAAGTAATTTGGCCTCTGTGAACCTGTTTGCTCATCTATAAAATGGGGATGATGGCACAGTCTCCTGGGGTTGTGTGAGGATGAGGGCAACGTGTAAATCTCAAGCACAGCACCTGGCATGGAGTGGGTGTGAGAACCTGTTCTCTCTTCTTTCTCTCTTTCCAGCAGTGCCCAACTCATGGTTGACCTCTGAAGATAGCATTTATTTCAAGGCTTTTCACTATCAAGAGCTCTTTTTATTATTTTTCTCATGCTTTGGAAGATTTTGATCCCAAATTGCATGTTTTAAGTCATTATTAATTTATCTCCCATTTTTTATTAATCAAAGACATAAATAGCTGCCCCTCAGAGCTTCTGATCTGTACATCCAGCTGGGAGCTGTGGTGGTTGACATAATTCCAGCCAGAGGCAAAGGAGCTCAGCAGCGTGGGTGGCCCAGGTGGCCCAAGGAGGGGAAATGTAGGTGCATCTTACTCTATTTTTTTAATGGGCCATGAGTTGTGGAAGCTGCTGGGGTTGCCCAGATAGGTGCTGCTTTCACAGGGGGACACTGACTACTGGTGGGCTGGGGGCTGAGGTTTGGGTGCCAGGGTCTAATGTGGGACACTGCATGGGCCTCATCCCACAGGGCTCACTCCAAACAGACATCAAGCAACAGTGCCATGCAGAAGAGCATGGGTTCACATAATGGGAGGAGGCAAAGCTGTCTGAGTGCAGGTCCTGCAGTCTCTGGCTGGAGACCAACACATCATCTTGCCCCTGGCTCCCGATGCCAGCAGAGCAGACTAGCTTGTAGTAGGGTGGGGTGACAGCCTTGATGTGGTCCCAGCACTCAGAATCACAGCCAGGTGGGCACACGGGCCGGCTGGTGGGCCACACCAGGCAGCTTAGAAGAGAAATGAGCCGTATCAGCTCCTCTGCCCAGATGCAAGGGAACTTCACCTCCAGCCTGGCTGACCCCAAGGAAACTTGGAAGGAGGAGATGGTGGTGGTGGCAGTGGTGTGTATTTGCAACAAGCAGAGCATTTGGCACATTAGGCTTCAAGCCTAATGTTTTGAACACAGAACCCTGAGTTGGAACATATGATTTGGAACAATGGGAGATGCAAGCCCTGGAACACAAGAAAACAGCTTTATAAACTGTATAGTGTGTGTGTGACAGATTAATCTAGCTTCCAAGTGATTGAGGCTACAGGCCCATGAGGCTATCCAGGTTAAGGACCATGGCCCTCAGTTGCATCCCCAGGCCACAGGCCCATACCTGCTCCTGGAAGATGCTGATGAGCTGCAGGTAACTCAGCTGGAGCAAAGCTGTCTGATTCTATAAAAATGAAAATGAATGGCTGGGCGCGGTGGCTCACACCTGTAATCCCAGCACACTGGGAGGCCAAGGTGGGCAGATCATGAGGTCAGAGATGGAGACCATCCAGGCCAACATGGTGAAACCCTGTCTTTACTATAAATACAAAAATTAGCTGGGCATTGTGGCATGCGCCTGCAGTCCCAGCTACTCAGGAGGCTGACGCAGGAGAATCGGTTGAACCTGGTAGCCAGAGGTTGCAGTGAGCCAAGATCATGCACTCCAGCCTAGCAACAGAGCGAGACTTCATCTCAAAAAAAAAAAAAAAGGAATGAAAATGAGTATCAAGGTAGATAGCAATTGCTGAGTGTCTACTGCGCACCAGGCTATAAAATGTGATTGTTTTGGGCTGGGTTTGCCCCAAAGCTGATGCTGAGCAAGGATTTGGTTGCAAGAAATTTATGTGGAGGTGCTTTGGGGAAGCATGGTGAGGGAGTCATGGGGAAAGACAATGAAAGACATGTGGATGGGCAGGCTGCCCCTGATGGGACCCGGAGCTCATCCTGCTGGAGCCCTGCCAAGAGACTGTGCAGGACATGCTGCAGTGATCCTACAGAGGGATGGAGAAGCTGGGGTATTTATGCACCGACAGCCCGACTCCCTTATTGGCTGAGGGTATGAATTCCTGGCACTCCAGCTTCCTCTGGGTGGGCCAAGTGCTTGGCAGCCACAGAAGTCCCCAGGCAGAGACACACAGGAAGCAGTGCACATGGAAAGTTCCCGTGGTTACCTCCAGTTGGGCGGGAAAATAGGGACATAGCACATCAACAGTGTCTACTATGTCAGTTTGCCAAATTCTCACAATCTTTAGGGATCAGCAGCTTCTTCATAGGCAAAGAAACTGATTAGCAAGAGAAAAAGAAGCTAGTGGAAAAAGTGGTGTTCCTGCATGAGGGCAGGGCTCGATACTATGTCCCCTCCCCATGCCATCACCCCATCTAGTGTGATGTCTGGCCACAGTGTGGAGGCAGTGCCTGTTGAAGGAAGGGATGAGCTGGCAGAAGCCATGTGACAGTGGGTTGATGACCACTCTTCTGTCAGAAGATGTCGGTTCTTTCCTCCCAGGGCTGCTTTGCGGAGTCAAGAAGATTGTGTGAACCAAGTGTTCAGCTCAGTGCCTGGCCCACGGGGGAGTGTAGTGGATGTTATTTCCCTTCCCCTGCCTCCAAGGGGATGATATAGTTTGGCTGTGTCCCCATTCAAATCTCAACTTGAATTGTATCTCCCAGAATTCCCACGTGTTGTGGAAGGGACCAGGGGTAGGTACTTGAAACATGGGGGCCAGTCCTTGCTGTGCTAGTCTCATCATAGTGAATAAGTCTCATAAGATCTGATGGTTTTGTCAGGGATTTTCGCTTTTGTGTCTTCCTCATTTTCTCTTGCTGCCCCCATGTAAGAAGTACCTTTTGCCCCTCACCATGATTCTGAAGCCTCCCAGCCATGTGCAACTGTAAATCCAGTAAAACCTCCCTTTCTTCCCAGTCTCAGGTATGTCTTTATCAGCAGCATGAAAATGAACTAATACACTAAATTGGTACCGGTAGAGTGGGGTGTTGCTGAAAAGATACCTGAAAATGTGGAAGTGACTTTGGAACTGGGTTATAGGCAGAGGTTGGAACAGTTTGGAGGGCTCAGAAGAAGACAGAAAAATGTGGGAAAGTTTGGAACTCCCTAGAGACTTGTTGAATGGCTTTGCCCAAAACGCTGATAGTGATATGAACAATAAGGTCCAGGCTGACGCAGCCTCCGATGGAGATGAGGAACTTACTGGGAACTGGAGCAAAGGTTATCCCTTTTATGTTTTAGCGAAGAGACTGGTGGCATTTTGCCCCTGCCCTAGAGATTTGTGGAACTTTGAATTTGAGATAACCAGTTAGGGTATCTGGTGGAAGAAATGTCTAAGCAGCAAAGCATTCAAGAGGTGACTTGGTTAGTGTTAAAAGCATCCGTTTTAAAAGGGAAACAGAGCATAAAAGTTTGGAAAATTTGCAGCCTATTGATGCAGTAGGAAAAACAATTTTTTTTAGGAGAAATTCAAACTGCAGAAATTTGCATAAGTAGCAAGGAGCCTAATGTTAATCCCCAAGACCATGGGGAAAATGTCTTCAGGCCATGTCAGAAACCTTCATGGCAGCCCCTCCCATCACAGGCCTGGAGGTCCAGGAGGAAAAAGTGGTTTCGAGGGCTGGGCCCAGGGTCCCCATGCTGTGTGCAGTCTCAGGACATGGTGCCTTATGTCCCAGCCACTCCAGATATGGCTGAAAGGGGCCAATGGACAGCTTGGGTCATGGCTTCAGAGGGTGGAAGCCCCGAGCCTTGGCAGCATCCACATGGTGTTCAGCCTGTGGGTACACAGAAGTCAAGAATTGAGGTTCGGGAACCTCAGCCTAGATTTCAGAAGATGTATGGAAATGCCTGGATGCCCAGGCAAAAGTTTGCTGCAGGGGTGGGGCTCTCATGGAGAACCTCTGCTAGGGCAGTGCAGAAGAGAAATGCGGGGTTGGAGCCCCCATACAGAGTCCCTGCTAGGGTACTGCCTAGTAGAGCTGTGAGAAGAGGGTCACCATCCTCCAGACCCCAGAATGGTTGATCCACCAACAGCTTGCACTGTGCACCTGGACAAGCCACAAACACTCAACACCAGCTCTTGAAAGCAGCCAGGAGGGATACTGTACCATGAAAAGCCACAGAGGCAGAACTGCCCACGACCGTGGGAACCCACCTCTTGCATCAGTGTGACGTGGATGTGAGACCTAGAGTCAAAGGAGATCATTTTGGAGCTTTAAAATGTGTCTGCCCTGCTGGATTTCAGACTTGCATGGGCCCTGTAACCCCTTTATTTTAGCCAATTTCTCCCATTTGGAACAGCTGTATTTACCCAATGCCTGTGCCCCCATTGTAGGCAGCCCTTCCTAGTTACTAGGAAGTAACTAGTTTGCTTTTGATTTTATAGGCTCATAGGCAGAAGGAACTTGCCTTGTCTTAGGTGATACATTGGACTATGGACTTTTGAGTTAATGCTGAAATAAGTTAAAACTTTGAGGAACTGTTGGGAAGGCATGACTGGGTTTGAAATGTGAGGATGAGAGGTTTGGAGGGCTGAGGGCAGAATGACATGGTTTGAATTGTATCTTCCAGGATTCCCACATGTTGTGGGAGGGACCCAGAGGGAAGTAATTGAATCAAGGGGCCAGTCTTTCCCCTGATATTCTTGTGATAGTGAATAAGTCTCACAAGATTTGATGTGTTTGATTATCAGGGGTTTCTGCTTTTGCTTCTTCCTTATTTCTTTTGCCACCACCATGTAAGAAGTATCTTTCACCTCCTGCCATGATTCTG